ATGCCATTTCTTAAGTTGGTATCACCTATGATCAATTCCTCTACGGACCCTCAAACCATGTCAATGCTGCCGCTTGAATTAGGACCGCCCCTTGTCAATTCAACAACAGATCTTCAAAGGCCAATGTCATTGTTCGAGCCGGGGGATGACTCTTACCAGTTTTCGCTACAGAATCAATTCCGTCGAAAGGGATGAATCAACTTTGATAATTTAATCGATTGGTAATTGATCAGAACGCACCATGTTTAAATAAGTGAATTTTGAATTTTATGTCTCCACCGAAGATTTCGAAAGCCAATTTTGTCGACAAGCAATCACACAAATCACCATCTTAATTATTGATTTTAATGCATACGGCAATTCATTGTCTTTATAGGTGTTAATGTTTCTACTGTACAATTTATTATTTACTTCGGCCTTGAGTCGGTTTCCATAACCGGTTTTATTTATTTTATGAATTTAAAGAAACTAGGATAAGGTTTTTTCTTTTTTTAATGGATTACTATGCTATTATGATTAAGTACATTTTCTCCCGGTATTTTATGCAACTTGTTTTGACAACAGTGTCGATAAAAAAAAACCGGTAGAATATAGTGCTTTTTTTTGCATCATATTTTCTTTTCTTTTGCATAAGCATTCAACATATAATTTTCGTTATCCCTAATTATCTACATTTTTGATAAATAATCTTGTATATATTATAAACTTTTCGGATTTCTTTCAATATAAGTGACCTGTTTTGTAATAAATTGATTAAAAATACATTTTATCAACGGGATCACCTATTCCGACTTTTCTTTATAATGTAATATAATTATTTATTTACCTTTTTTTGATTCCCTACCATTTTTAAACTTATGGTTAACATTTATATTTTTTAAATCTCATTTTAACATATATATAATATATTGACTTTTATATTATTTTTGAACGTTTTTCTTTTGTGCACATTTTTTTTTACGCTTTAAAATTACATTTTTTGTGTATATTTTTTGCAAGAAAATTTTCTACGTTTTTAAGTATCATCATTTTAATTTGCATATTGCACATTTTCAATTTATTTCGATCCACTCATCTTTATTTCTACTTTAATTTTCGCTATATTTTAATTTGCATATTGCATATGTTAAATCACCTAAAAAAAAATAAAATAAAAAAAAAATAAATTAAAATAAATAAAAATAAATTAAAAATAAAATCTGTTGTTACATGTGAAAATTCTAATCATATTTATAGTAGTGCTGTAAATTGGGACATTTTTTTGTTCTATACTTTTGTGACTTAACAATTCTGAGGGACGAACGTGAATTAACCCATTAAGTATGGAAGGTACATATGTACTTACGAGCTTTCAATGGTAACTCCTGCTCGTAACACTATTAAGAAGCATGAAAGTCAAAGTAACCCTATAAATATGTAAAATATTAGTATTTATAATTTAAATACAGTCGACTCTGGACATACCGTACTGCATGTTCTGAAAGATTTTGTTCGCTATACAGTAAATTTATTGCATAGTTGGCTTTCTCTATACCGAACTGTTCTGTATATAGAGCTAGCCAATAAAATCACAAAAAGCCCTCGGAAAATTTCAGAATTTTACTCTTTCGTGTTCATTTTCTTTTCGGAATATTTCGGAAAATATGACTTTGCAGACAATCATATCCAAGTCATATGATAGTCCGTTATATCGAAATAATATGTATAGTTAGTCTTGGGTTGGTAAAAAAGAGTTCGGATGTTGTATATAAAGATTTACTAGTTTAACCAGCCTAAATTATTATAAAAAATTCAGTGGTTCGTTATAGCCTGATTTCGGTATAGTATATCCATATATATTTGTATTTAGATTTCGCACCTTGTACATCGTACAGTGTGTATGTGACGTAACTTATGCATTTATCTACCAGAAGGTATGACAATTACAGGGGTCGTCTAAAGCCATGTACCTACGTGACTTTTTTTGTGTAAATCAACCAATCGGAACCGCTAATTTTGAAGTCAAAAA